AACCACCCGAACTCACTGGCACACGAGCTGTTATGTGATATCAATCATCCACGTCGACTAAGAAGATTTTCTACGTCGGGCTTGCCAAGTCGAACCCCAAATACGTGAATCGTAATTATAAACTCACTAAAATTAAACATTTATAGCCAACTATTTGCTCATTAAATTAGTAATTGTAATCATTGTAATCATTAATTGTAATTTAATCTTTAGCGGTGTGCACTACTGAGTGTCCCGCACATGTTTACATATCATCTTATTCTATTTTATATTCATAAGTAATACTGAATGTTTTTTTACAGATTGTGTTTATACAATATATAAAGAAAAAAAATATAAATTTGTTTATAAATTCTAATCAGCTAAACTGGATCGTATCATATGTTAAAATCGCATTGCCATCCATATTTTCATTAAAATACGTTCCACTTCTATTTTTTGCATACATTCCACATTGAACCAGAATGTGAAACAGATCAATTGCTTGTTCACCCCATTGCGTTTGTTTTGCATGTAAAATTGAGCGGATCACGTTTGCTGTAACGCAGCTAAGGATATCAAACATATATTTGATATATAAACTTATTTTTATATATCAATTATATATTTTATTTATAAAAAAAGAATATTTTGAAAAATGTTTACCTCTTGTTGGTTTATGTTTACATTTTGCCTGATTTTTTGTTTATTTTTACATTTAGTTTCTTGTGTTAAATATGTCAAATTTCGATAATTTCCAATGTTGCATTCGTCATTTTTGATATAATTTTGGTCGAATTTTGTGCACTATATTTTAAAGTAAGTGAAAAAGCACTGCAGCTTACTAAGTAAGCAGTGAAAAGGTACTATAAGTGTATAGCCTGAAGCACTTTACAAAGATTTGGTTGGCTAAATGTTTGAACTTGTGGTTTACACAATTCAAAAACACAAGTTCATTTAGTTCTATAAGGTTTGATTATACTAAATTGATGGTGTCCAAAGTGTTTAAGTAATTTTATAGTCGATTTAAAGCGGGTTAGGTTTTATTTGATTTTTGTTGTATTACTATTTGGCGACTTTTTCTTTAATATGGGCTCTACTTCAAAGAAATATAATACTACACTTGATGACATAAACTACTTGCTTTATTTGGAAACCTATAAACGCTTTAAAGATGATGAAAATAATATTAAACGGCAGATTGAGGAAAAAATTCATCAATATAAAAAGGTGAAAAATGAGTATTTGGAACTATATCTTAAATACACAAATCTATTAAAACTTACGGCTATTCGTACCACTGTGGAAGGTGGTATCTGTTTTGATGATTCTCATGTTAAATCAGTTAAAAAAAATATCGAAACAATAATTGCGAAAATTTCAACAGGAAATGTGACTGAGTATGTCAACGCAGAAGCTCTGGAAAAGGTAATGTGTTGTAATATAAGTATACAAATAATGCTCATAATGCTATAATTTAAAGTTCAAAGAGAATTTGAGTTCGTGCGAGAATTATACACAAATAGAAGCAATAAAAAGTGGCGTTGCAGATATTAAAAAATCAACTAAAGCAATCAAAAATTCTAGGGACATTATTGAAACATCACTTGAGGCTGCAGCATTTCAGGGATTAGATTTTTTTGCGCATGCGTTTCTGACAGATAAACCAATTATGAAATCGATCAAATATTAGGTTCTTTCGGAATTGAATTAAATCAATAACAAAATATTGTAATAAAACATTTAAAATTCTTAAAAATGCTAATTTGTTTATTTTTTACGTAATTGTTAGTATTACATATTTCAACGGTCATTATCAAATCGTTTTCTAAAACGTACACAGTTGAATTACCACTTTGAGCGTTTAGACCAGTCTTTTGGCGTCCAATGCAAGCATTTTGAGTCAATGCGTATTTTTCGATTTTCCATAGCTTTTTTATGCTGGTCTATTATATCCCGGCCAATGCAAACAATATATTGGCCTTTGTAGTAATTTATTAGATTTAAGTTTTGTAAGGTAGAGATGACGTCTTCCTTTTTTATTGAAGTGCATTCGCAAATATCACTTAAAATAGAATTAAAAAAAAATTACATAAAATAAGTTATAAATTAAAGACTTACTTTATTGTTATCGTAGGTTTCTCGTTGTCACAAGTAGGTTTTTGACTTATGAATATTTCTAAAATTGTTTGTGCCCAATATGATCGATATGATAATAAACCCAAATCAGATAATGGTTTTTCAGGTGAACCTGTTTTTCCCTCAAATTTTGATAATTCGTAACTAAATTCAATTAAAAGTTTGCCATATCCTTTCCGTTGATATGGTGGCATTGTTAAAATACAAGCAACATTATAATCTTCTGTACTTTCCTTCTCTTTTGAAAAATACCCTACTATGTGAAAGCCTCTGGAATCGAATTCAGTCATAACGTAGAACAGAAATGGGTCCGTATCGTAGTAAAGTGTTTTATGATCCAAAAATAATTTGGCTAGTAAGCACAAATTCTGAGCATAAACTTTGTTTTTACGGCCGTCAATTTCAAAGAAGCAAATTGTGTTCTTTCTGTAAATTTCATTTCCAGGTGGATGGCGTAGATTACACTTGATTAAATGACGTTCTAAACACTTTCGACTTTTTCGGTATTTAAGACAAAATTCACAAATATATATACATGACATTTGACAAAGTTCCTATATTAATTTTAGAATTCGTATTAAGAGTAAATTTTTTGAAATAAACACCAACCTGTGGATATGGTGAAAAATACCACGGTTTTATTCTGTGCCTTCCTAATTCAATCATTTCTACGTTTTTCATGCGAGTGACAACATCATCTTGATGAATCACCATGCTACCTGACTGGCGTGGTGTAGCACTTTTGCCATCTAATGATGCTTCTTCAATACTGGATGTATTATTCAATGCTGGTGTTTCCGGCAGAAGTACTGGCGGTGCTATTACAGAATTTAACTAAAAGAAAATGATTCGTATTCTGTTTAAATTGAATAAAAAACATACTTTTCTTTTTCTGTTAATTTTCTTTTGAAGTGCTGCAGCTAAGACCGCATTTCCGTTTACCATTTCTGCGTTAGTTGGTTGTGGTGAAGTTGGACGAGAAACACTTCCAGCTAATGAGTGATGCTTTTTTGGAGTTGTTACGCCTGTGCTTGCACCAGTTTGTGTTCCATCCCGCCGTGGAAATTGAACTTTTCTTGTATCCAAATCTTCTTCATCAACCCATTCATCCAAGCGTTTATTAACTTTTTACAAAAATTAAAATATGTATATGCATATTGCACATAATTTATTATATACATACAGTCGACATAGTGGACATAAAATTGCCTTTTTCCTTCATGGTCTTTAATACTGACGACCTCAGCTAGTGGCCAATCATCTGTTTTATGCATTCGCACTGGTAAACGGCATCCTTCTGTAAGTGCAGCCTAATTTTAGTCAAAGAAAATAGTGAATATAATATACATATAAAATTGCAAATATTTTGAAAGTTAGTTGATTCCAGTACCGTAGATTCACAAATAGAAGATACATCCTCATCAAAATCAACTTTTTGCGTAATTTTCATAATTTTTTAGAACTTTGTCAATTTTATATTCTTAAGAATTGTTTTAAAATAATACGAATTCAACAGCTGATCAAAGCGTCAAAATACTATTCACAATAAAAGCAAAATATAAATTTGCTTTTTATATGGTGCTGTTAATATCTTCAATTTTATGTAAATAAAATTAAACCCAAGTAAATTGAGCGAATGAAAAATTTAATATATTTTAAAACTTTAATATTTTTTTTATGCGTTTGCTTTATATATACATTTTTTTTTTACATTGTTTTTCTAATTAAAGTAATTAAGGGTTAAGATAATTAATTTATTTCAATTTGGCTTGCTTTATATTTTGCCCAACAAACAGAGTTTTATAATTTGCTTGATCAAATGCGAAACAATAGGCGTTCTGAGTGGTTCGTAAGTGTAGCATGTGAAGCAACAACAACGCACTTAAAATCTTCAGAGATAACATCAGAGATGAACTAAAATTTATTTTTTCGTACAACAACAATTTGCTGTGAAGCTCTTAAAGGTGTTAAACATGATATAGATAAATATGTGCGTGAAGATAGCGTCGACGAAAGTCCAAAATGGAATTCGAACATTTTTCGACGCATGAAAAATGCAGTATACTTTAATTAAGGAAAAATTTATTATTTTATTAAATTTAGTGCTGCAAAAAGCATTATTAAGTAGAAAATTGAATTAATTTACTATCTACATTCAACTTTTATGTATAAATAATGTAATTTGTATGAAAAATGAAAAATAAAAATCAGCTCCAGAAGATGGGGTCACTAATTTATTAATAACTTTTAAACTAGAGTTAACATCTTAGGTCTAGTTTAACATCTTAAACTAGAGTAACAAGAATATCTTAGAAGGAGCAAGTTTAATAAAAATTCGACGCTAATTATTTTGACATTTAATATCCCACACTTTTCAATGCAATTATAACTGTTGTGCATAAATAAGTCAGCACACATTTAAATTAATTATGTATAATTTGTAAATGCTCTATTTTTCCAAATAATTGTAATAACTAAAGTATTATATTCAAAGTTTATTCTATACTAACATTTTTCTGACTTCTGGTATATGGTTTTTGTAAGATAAAAGGTTTTTCTTTTCAAAGAAAATTAGTTTCGATTAATTTTATGGTAAGTTAATCTTAATAAATATGAATACATCATATGAAAGCTTGAAGTGTCCTCTTTCGATTAAGCTAAATTGCAGAAAAATGGTATCTCTGCTTTTAAAGATATAATTAATTTTGTAATATAACTTCGTTTTTACGATTTTTTCTTTCCATTTTTAATGAAAATTTGCTGTATACTATATAAAAACTAAGTAATTTAGAAAGCCAAACATATTTTTTTACTGTTATCTGTCTTTTATTTCAAAGTTTTTAATTAAATAATAATGTTTAAATTAATTAAAACTTGAAATAACATCGTAATAAAAATTAGACGCTAACTAAATTTTGACATCGTACAGTCAAAATGCTTTCAGAAGAAAATAAAACTTTAAAAGAAAAAATAATTATATTGGAACATGAAAAACAAACCGACCACGAAGAACTGATGCGGCTAATTAACGCCAATAAGGAAAAAACCTAATTTTCAAAGGCCTAACAGAACAGCTGCCACCCAAAGAAGCTGTCACAAAACTCTGTGAAGAAACTCTTGGCATAAACATTGTAGTCCGTAAAGCTAGAGTCATATCACAGCGGGAAAATAAAATCAACGTCTTGGCAGAGATGACGTCAGAAGAATCGATTGGTCTGGTTTTCCAAAACATACACAAACTTGCAAACTCTACGATTAGGATTGAAAAAGACCTGAACAAAGACAGACAACGGCATAGAAAAGCTCTTCTTTTAATAAGGATAAAAATTCTCTCTATAGATAGTTCGCATAAGGTGCTCGTTCGATATGATAGAATACGCATTGGAAACAAGTGGTGCAAATGGAGCAAAAATGGAATCCTAAGGTGTGGCAATGAGGAGGCGACTACTACTCTCCGATCTATGTATGGAAACAAACTTGATAACCTTAATCTTAACTTATTAAGCATCATGAATGAGCTAGATCAAAACAACCGTATGGCAAAAAACTAAAGAACGAATACAGCACATTAACAACAACTACAGATGACGCTCCATCAACATCACGAAATACAGCATCTACATACAATCTTTTTAAGCTTCAAATAACATTTTGAAATGTACACGGTATTGCAAATCTTTTTAATGAATCAAAAATTGCTGATCGCAGATCATATCTGTCTATGAAACCTGGTCAACAACACCTTTCAATACTAGCCTTAGTCCTTGGTGCAACTATGATGGGCTGACAGCCCCAGCAACAAGGGAAAAGTCCACTGGTAGAGCTAGTGGTGGTATTGTAGCTCTAGTTGAAAAAAATTTAGCAAAAAGTTGCGAAATAAGCAAAACAAATTTGTTGATTTTTAACTTTTATTGTATTAATAATTTTAATTTTATTTTAGGTTCATTGTACATTAAACCACATTATGAAATAAATATTGCTTTAGAATTGCTTCAACCATTAATCGATGAAATAATTAAAAAATATGCAGGGATCCCCATAATAATAGGTGGTGACTTCAACGCTAGAGGGGGTAAAGAGGGTGCTCAAGAATTCTTATCTGAAATTAGTTCGATTTTCATATCTAAAAGAAGCTCTCTCGATTTAGTCTTGAATACGCGTGGTAAAAATATATTAGAATTCGTAGAAAATAATGGCTTTAGCTTGCTTAACGGTTGCACAGACGGTGACATCCCAGCAAGTTTTACATTTTCAAACAAAAATGGTAACAGTGTTATTGATTTAATCTTGGTCAACGTCGCTGGAATTCCATTTATAAAAAGCCTAGAAGTACAAGCACTTGCTTCTGGTTCAGACCATTTCCCGGTAACCTTAAAACTTGAATTCCCTACCGGCACTAGCAATATAAATTGTACAAATGTAACTTCTTGTAAGCAAACCAGATTAAAATGGGATATAAATAAGTCTGATATTTTTACAATGCACATGAACCGCTGTCTTGAATCATTGAACATGAATCATCACTTCTCTTCTTTATCCAATGACCAACAAAATGATCTAATTATAACCTCTATACAAAAATCCGCTCAAGCATCAGAAATGGTTATTGCTAAGTCCTTTATGCCTCTTTACTATACTTCTAAGCCATGGTTTGACTCAAAGCTACGAGCCTCAAAGAAAAATCTAAATCATGCCTTAAAAAAGTGCAAGCGACAAAGCTTTTCATCTGAAACTAAAACGGTATACATGGATTTAAAAGCTAATTACAAAAAAATGCTGTCTGAAAAAAGAACGGAATATGAAATTAAGGTCAAAAACAAGTTCTTTAACGTAAAAAGTTCGAAAGACTTTTGGAATCTTATTAAATCGTACAATCGAAAACCTTTTGTCAACAACCCCATACCAAATTCTGTTTGGCAAAGCTTTTACGAGCAAATTTATCCACCTCGTCCTACCATTGAACTTATACTGTCTGAAAACTTTATCGAAGCGCTGGATTCGGAAATAACAATAATTGAAATAAAAACAGCAATAAATAAAATCAAAATCAATAAGGTTCCAGGCGAAGATGCGATTACGGCAGAGTTCTTTAAGAATTTATCTAGTCAATGGATTTATATGCTACAGTCTGTATTCAATAATATTCTCTTAACTGGAAGCACACCAGCTTCTTGGCCACAGTCCGTACTTATTATGTTACACAAAAAAGGTGATATAAACTCATCTGAAAATTATAGAGGCATTGCTCTATGCAATATTATTTTAAAAATTTTTACCCATATTCTGCATGATCGCCTCTTGCTATGGGCGGAACAACAAAATAAAATTCCTGAATCGCAAAATGGGTTTAGAAAAAAAAGATCATGTACTGATAATATTTTTACTTTTCCAACAGCAATTCAAATACATATACGTCTAAAAAGCAACTCTGCTTACGGACTTTTTATTGATTTCAAAAGGGCATTTGATTCTATTGACCAGATGCTGTTCTGGCAGAAACTTTATTCGCAAGGTATAAGTTCGCGCTTAATTAAAATTCTCCAGTCTATTTACGACAAGGCTTTCTTCGTGATTAAACTTCAACAAAAAGACTCCGATCCTATCTTTGTTACCGAATGCGTTCTCCAAGGGGAAATTCTCAGCCCTCTCCTTTTCATATTGTTTATTGCTGATCTTGAGAAAGAATTAAGGAATGCAAATATTGAAGGGATCAATATTAATGGTCTACATGATATTTTGATGCTGCTTTTTGCAGATGACGCCGTTGTTCTAGCCAGGTCTTCTATTATTTTACGAAAAAATCTATTAGCACTTGAAAGCTACTGTGAAAAAAACAAATTTGTTGTATACACGGAAAAAACCCAAATTGTATTTTGGATTCATATTTTGTATTTATCTTTGTATTTTGTAGGAGAACAAATTTGTATGTAAAATACAAAAACAAAAAACTGAACTAAATCTTTACCTGCACCAACCTTTTCAAACATTTTCTATGGAATTACAAAAACAACTACCTTGTATGAAAATTGCATTTTATATTTTCATTTTAAAAATATCGCGCAGAATTTGCGCGATACTCTTGATTTTTATAATATATAACGCAAGTATACCAGTTATTTGTGCGTTTTAAAATAAGAAGCAAATTTTAAGAGTTATTTCTGCGCGAAAAAATAAAAGGCATATAATAATAATTATTTTTGATGAATATAATAAAAATCAAATTTAATTATTATTTTTTGATTTTTATTTTAAAACGCTTATATATAAAAAGCATTCATAATATTAAGGATAAAAGTTGTTAGAATGATAACTATTTACTTAAATAAGAGTTTAGACAGCTTTTTGTTTCGGCTTTTTTCCATAAAAAATTTTAAAATAACTGTTATTTTCCGTCCCTGATTTTCATCGAATTTAATTCAAGATAGTATGCCATCTATTAACCAACTTCGTACAAAATTTTTGAATAATTAATATAATTAAACTAATTTCGATTTTTTTGAAATAATTGTGCTTATTAGAGTATTGTATTCAAAGTTTTT